TTCACCTGGCCCTTGGAGCCATTGCTGGAATTGCAAGGTACACTTTTTTTTTTTTTTATTATAAAAAACTATTATATATATATATATATATATACACGATGATGATGATGATGATGATGATGATGATGATGATGATGATGATGATGATGATGCAGGATGGGAACGGGGACGGGACCATGGAAGTTCATGCGAAGCCAATCTTTTATCTTATAGAAAATTATTTGATCGGAATACATATAGATGTCATTTATATACAGATTTACATACTCTTGTCGTTATTGTGATCTTTCATTTTTGTTTTTAGTTTTGATTTTTGTTTGGTGTGCATATTGTAATGTTGTTTCCTCTGCAAACACACAGCTTATATATCAGTTTATTATATATTTATCTGATTTTATTGTCACACTTAATATCTTTACGTATATGAAACATGCGTACACACACGGGTGTAAAACCGGCCGGCTCTGCTCGGCCCGATCCATCCCGTTCCGATCTCATAATTTTTTAGTCCAATCCAGTTCGATCAGTTTTTTTGGCAAGTCAAAAACCATTTGGCTCAACCCGTCTCACCTGAAATCACGATCAAATGAGTCAAATAAATAACTAAAAAAATATAATTTAAATACTAAAAACTATTATAAATACAATAAAATTTAATAAAATAAGTCAAATACCTATTAAAACTATAATTGTAATATAAAAAAGTATTAAAATATTAAAACTTAAACAAAAAATATTTTTTTCTATTTCGCCGAGCTAGTTCGCCAAAAATCTGGCTCGTGACTAGGTGACTCATTGGACCCAAATCTATTTTACATTCTACTGACACTAGTGAAGTATATATATGTATTCTTCTTCTTATTATGATTCGATATTCTAAAATTATAAACTAATTAATTTGTATCAATTTGAATAGCATAACAATATATCAATTTTTAAAATTTATAAGTTGTGAAGATTTGAAATTATAAAGGATTGGTATACAAATTTTAACTGCTCTCTTTTAAATTCCATTTTTCGGGTTGACTAAATGAAAATAATTTGGTATTTACGGATATTTGTCATGCGAATGATATCTAATCGACACATCAATTTTAGATCAAATATTTTTTTTAAAAAGTAACACATTCTCTTTCCGAGAAAAACAAACCATAAATCTGCGAAAGGTTACCGTATACCAAAATCTCCGAGACGACGACCTCATTTTCGGACATGTTTTATTTATCAATTATTATGCAATGATAAGTCAAAAATATTTTCTTACCAAAAAAGAGTCATAAATATTTTATTATGTTTATATTTGATCAGATAAGATATTGATGAAATTTTTTGAAAATCCATTAGTATTTATTTTCAATCTGTTATAATTTTATACGATTATGGTTGGACTTCAAATTTTAACATTATCATATTAATATCGGAAAAACAATAATAATAATAATGATGATGATGATGATGATGATGATGATGATGATAATAATGGAAAACGAATGGAGAAAGTGAAGATAGGTTTTCTGGTGACTATTTTTTTTACAACACACTACACGTGGGACAAGCCAAAGTTAACATCTACACAGCAAGCGAACAAATATAAAATACACACAATATTATCATAGTGATACAAACAAATTCGTATACATACATGTATGTGATATATATATATAGGCATTGAAACATTTTTAAATTAAAAAAAAAAATCTCTAGGAGACCTTTACTCTCTCCGTCAACAGTTGATCCCACATTCCTGAACGTCCGGGCCGGTGACTCGGGTCGTGAACGGATCGATCCGAACCCAAAGGAGCGAAAAGATCGAAGCAAGAAGGATCGACCAGACAACAACAATGGTCGGAGTTCTGTTCTGTCTCCCCATCAAACCCTTTAGGAACGGGTAGAGATGGACGATGACCCAGAAGGCGAAGAAGAGCTTCCCGAAAAGCGGACCCCACGACTGGCACCCGCTGTTAATGGCGTACGAGATCCCCGCGACCACCCCGACGATGTTTATGATGAGAAGCGTCGTGGGCGGGATGAGGAGAGTCGTCCACTTGAACATGTAAAGCTCGGCGAAATCCCCGTCCTCGTCGGATGCCTTTGACGTGACGGTGAAGTTCGTGTCTATTCCCGCAAGGACTTTGAGTAGACCTTGGAAGACGGCGAAGATATGGGCCGAGACGCCGCCGATGACCCAGAACTGCTCGTTTCTCCACCACTCGTCGATCCCTACTCCGCTCCACCGCATCTCGAGAATACCCGTGGCGAAGATGGACAAGAAGAGGGACAGGAACCATATGCTCGCCAGATTGCTTATCTGCATCAATGAGAAAGCGCCAAGAGAAGGTATTATATTGGGTATTATATGTTACTATTTTTCCTATTTGGTTTGGCTTTATGTATTTCTTTAGGATAGATTTTAGTGAAAAGGAACTATGTTGTCAAAGGAAACTACATTATCTATTTAAATTCGTTCGATCATCAACAATATACAACGGATTATTACGCAAATTTTGTCATAGTATCAGTTACATTTTTATGGGTTTGAAATTCTATTAGCTTTTGCGAAAGATCGTGGCGAAGATATGGATCATCATCATCATATCTTGGCCTAATGATACTACGAATCAGATTTCGGTTGAATAACTATGATATCGTTATAATATCATGTCCCGAAATGAAGGTATTATCATCACATCTTGTCCTAATGATTCTATGAATCAGATTTCGGTTGAATATATACGATATCGTTATAATATCGTGTCACATCTTGGCCTAATCATACTACGAATCAGATTTCGGTTGAATATATATCGTTATAGTATTGTGACCCGAAACGGAACTAGCAAATGAAGAATTCCACGAATGATTTCGGGAGAGAGGGAGAGAGAGCAAAACCTGTGGGATGATGAACTTGTTGGTGAAGAGACAGACGGCAGAGAGAGTACAGTACATGAGGAGAGGAACGGAGGTGATCGGATAAATCGTGGTGTTAATATAAGCAAATCTCTCGAGCCATTTCAGGCGACCGCCATATCCGTACCAAATCGGGCAATGTCGGCTGAAAAGGATTTCGACGGAACCAAGAGCCCACCGAAGAACTTGGTTCAGACAATCCGACAGATTGATCGGAGCAGATCCTTTGAAAGCCGGACGCTTTGGCATACAGTATATAGACCGCCAACCCCGAGCATGCATTTTGAATCCGGTAAGGATGTCTTCCGTAACCGAACCGTAAATCCATCCAATCTGTGACCAGAGAAATAAATGTAAACGTACTCTAAAGAACAGTCGCAAAGAGGAAGCCTTAAACAGGGTGAAATAAGAAATTACCTCATTTCCCCACTCGGTTTTGTCCTCGTACCCGCAACTAATGACATGAATAGCCTCTTTAAGAAGCGTTTTGGGAGTTGCGGATTGCGGGACACCGCCATTCTCCATAAGGGTTGATGCCACAAAGACGGCAGACTGTCCAAACCGCTTCTCCAGGTTCATTTGTGACATTAACACCGACTTCTCATCATCAAAGCCAGCCCCTAGTTTATACAAAATGATGATTACATCAAACAGAAACGTGGATATAGTCTTAAAATCCGAAACACTTTTGGATTGTTCCGTGATGCATATGCAAGAGGAGAAAGAGAAATATCAGACCAAGCCGTTAAACAGAAGATAACAGAGGAAATACGGTTATATTACCTTCTACTCCCTCTTCGATATCCTCTAGATTGAAAACTGGCACTGTGGAGTCAACATGTTTTCTAGATTTCCTCGTATCTGATCCCTTTTTACTAGATTTAGAGTTCTTCTTTCTTGAGCCACCACAGGTAGAGGACAGCATGCTAGGCTTCTTGTGCTTTGGTTTCACTGGCGGTTCATATCCATACAGAGCGGTCCTGTTAAAGACACATCTAGTTCCGACATAAACAGGCCCTTGAATCCCATCCAAACCTCTCAAGTTTATCTGAAACACAAACGAAAAGGTGAAACAAAAGCATTATAAGCAATGTTAGATAACATCAACATAATCCAACATGAACATCCTTAAAATCTTAACCAGCTGTTAAGAATTCAGATGAATAAAAGAGATACTATTGTATTGAATCAGTAAAACTCAATACAACCCAGAGAATTGATTAGTGTGAGATTCTCACTCACCCCTCCCATACGATTTCTTAGCAACAAAGAAGATAAAAACCCAGCCCAACATAGATAGCAATATATAAGAAAACCTCCCATGCAAAACAACTGGTCCCCCACCCAAAACAGAATTCGGTTATCCATAACAAAAGGAATAATATCTTATTCTCAGCATCCACTTCATCCTCCTAGTCAGCAGCCAGCTCATGCTCCTGCATTTTCTCCATCTCCCGTGGCAACATTCTCTGTTTCTGCTGCCACTTCGCTTCCCTCTGTTCCCTCAGCTCCCTTCTCTGATTTGCCTTGCTCTGTGGAGCTCATCTTCTTCCTCACATAAGCCCTGAAGCTCATATCAATACCCCGGGCCCGAAGACGCAGCTTGTCCTCAAGCTGAAAGCTCGGAAACTGTTGCACAAAATCCATCGCCTTTTCCCACGTCGCCTCATGAAAGGGCAGATTTTTCCATTGAATTAAAACCTCCAGAAATCCGTCCGCCGTATAACGATGCTCCAGCAAGTCAAGTGGCTCCACAATAACCTCCATGTCAGCCGTCAATTTCTGGGGTAATGGGGAAACCTAATAATCAGTCCCGACCGCCTTCTTTAATTGAGAAACGTGAAAAACCTGGTGAATACACGACCCCTGCGGTAGCTGTAATTTGTAAGCCACCGGACCAATCCACAGGGACCATAGAACCGTGCAGACACCTTCTGATAAGTGCGGCGAGCCACCGAGTGTTGGCGATAAGGCCGCAGTTTCAGATAAACCCAATCGTCCACTTTGAATTCCACTTCCCTCCGAGACTGATCTGCTTGTCTCTTCATTTGCTGCTGCGCTTGCAGCAACCGTTGTCGAATTTCTGCTACCATAGCATCGCGTTCTTGCAAAGCTTGCTCCAGATCGCCATTAGTGGTAGATCCTTCCTCGTATTTGAGCAGCAAAGGAGGTGCACGCCCATAAATCACTTGGAACGGAGTTGATTTGATCGATGTGTGATAAGCGGTGTTGTATGTGAATTCTGCCCAAGGAATGAACATCACCCACTTCCTCGGATGATCACCCACGTAACAACGTAAATACGTTTCCAAACCTCTGTTTACCACTTCGGTTTGACCATCCGTTTGAGGATGGAAAGTCGTGCTGTGTTTCAGCTTTGTACCGGAAACCCGAAACAATTCCTTCCAGAAATGGCTCAGAA